TGCTGTCCTCTTATTCCGGCCTTCTCCAGAGAGATTTAGGAAGTTAAGGACTTGATTCTGTCCTCCCACACAGAGACTGAATGATTCGCCCAAGTCTATCTCACAGCAGCTGCACATAGTCCAGATGCAGTGAGCTCTATGGAGCATGGCTGATTCCTGACTGCCTACTTACTGCTTGTCCCTACCAATATCTTCCTCTGTGGGCTGGCTTGGGTGGCCCTAACTAAGTACCACCACTAAGGGGCTTAAAGAACAGAAATGCACTGTTCTGGAATCTCGAAGTCAGAGGCTGAGATATCACAGGGCCCGTTCCTTTTGAGGCCCGAGGAAGAACCTGTTCCACGCCTCTCCCCCAGCTCCTGGTCTTTTGCTGCCAGTCTTGGCTGTGTCCTGGCTTGTAGATGTATCACTCTAATCTCCACCCTCATCTTTATATGGTATTCTGTCTGCTTGTGTCAAAATCCCTTTTTAGAAGGACATAGCCACATTGGATAAGGGCTCTCCCTAATAAACCTCATTTCCATGCAGATTATCTCTTTACAGGTTCTGTTTCTAAATAAAGGTCAGATTCTGATAAATGGGGGGTTAGGACTTGCATATATCTCTTTTGGAGGACACAGCTCAAACCTTAGTATCTTCCCAAAACTCTCCTTGTCTATTCGTCTCCCCAACCCTGGCATTCTGCTGCCAAGTGAATGGAATCCTCCTTTCACAGATCTCTCATATTCAGTTGTTTGCTGACCTAGAACCACCTTGACCATAGGAGGTTGGATCCTGAGATTCCAACAAAGATGGCCCAGCTGCCTGGGATCTCCACTGTTAACCTACAGAAAATGGCTAATACAGTCTTGTATCCATCACAGGGCTTTGAGAACCACTCACCTTCTGGACTGTCTGCTGGAGCATACGCTCTTGTGGCAGGCAGGGGAGGAAGCAGGTGTAATTGGAATCAAGTGGGGGAAAGAGCTCGGGCAGGGAAGCGAGGGGAGGTTTGGTAAGGAGGCAGCAGGGGCCACAGACATCGGAGAATAGAGTAGCTTGATTTGGGGAACAGGCCCTGCATGGGTGGTGGGACCAGGCTCAGAAGAGCAAGGAGACCAGGGAAAGGCTCAAGAGGGTAAGGGTCAGCTCTTTGGGGAAAGCAAGGTGGTTTTAGAGGGACTGAATGTGAGATGGGCAACAAGTCTTGGTAGGTGCTGAGGTCCTGAGCTGGGGAGAGGCAGAAAGTATGTTTGCAGTCGGTCCTCTGGGCAAGCAAGGAGGAGTGAAGGCTTGGTAAGAGCTGGTCAGTAACCCAAACTTGGGCCAGGTCCATCCAGGTTTACTAAGAGTAGTAAGAGACAAGGCCCAGAGTACCCACCATGGTTGCATGTGGACTGTTACAAAATACCGGCCAGTTGTGACACCCAAGCTCGCCAGGCCCCCGAGAAGGAAAGTGCAGACTAGCCTTGCTCATCTTTTAACTGTTTATTGTATAATATAAAACTACAAAAGTAAGACTGCTCATTTCCATGTACATTTAATCTGTCCAATTGCTTAGATTACAGCCCAAACCTACATGTGGATCCAGCCATCTGGGTTCCGATGTGATGTCTGTAATATTGCATAGAAAAGGCACAGCTCTCAGGTCTGTGGGGGAAAGGTTACACCTCCCCTTTTTCCCCCTTTTTTGACAAAAGCCCTCCTCAAAACCATGCACCAAAACATGTCATTATGTACATATTTTCCAAAATTTTGGTTATTTGCTCTTATGGATTACACTTCTCTTCCAAACTTGTTATCCCCAAAAGACGTCCACAACTTTTATTGGCTTTGTTAGCAACAGCATAGGATCCTGGCTAACTTTCAAGAACCATTTGGACTCATTCTCAGAAGCACAGAGAACAGTTCACAAGCAGGACATGTACTACCCGGCTGCCGTGGGCAGTTACAGGGAGTGAACCATTGATAGTCACAACAGGTTAAATCAGATCTTTTCACTATTTTCAGAAAAAACATATAAAGGTTCAATTTGCAACAGCAAGGTTTTGAAATTAAGACAATTCATAGAGAAAAAAATCGCTGCACAAGAGTCTCTTATTTATATTTTACACCTGTCATTTAAGAAGGCTGCCCTGCAGTATTCATAATTCATTGTTTGCCACAAAAGTGGCTAATAAATTTAAGCATTAAAAACTATCTGTAAGTTGATACTTTGGCTCTTTGGAGCTTATTTATTTAAGAAAGTTTCCTTGATTGACCTTAGGGCAGTCGGGACAAGCCAAGGGGCTATGGCAATAGAAAGCTCAATTGATAAAGACACTCAGGTAGGGTGGGGACTCCGGGTAGTTCTCACCCTTCGGTAGAAGAGAGGGTGTCATGTGGTTACCCCTTCTTGTCACAAAGAGAAAGTGCTACTAAAAAAAAGTTTAAAAATATCAACCCTTTGATGCTTGATTTTCTTAAAAATTTGGAGGTATTAAAACATTTCTCATCCATATCTTTTGCATATTTTAAATAGACCCATATTAGAGGAGAGAGTGAAAATGAATGTGGACTGCGCATACGATGAGAAGACCCAGGGATCTGGATTGGACCCCCTTTTAATACAGATTTACATTCCTACGAGAGAATACATTCCTACCGTACATTCTGCACATGTTACGATCCAGATGTTAGAGCTCCACAGTAAAATAAATATATTTACACAGGAAAAAAAAGGAATAAATAACTTATGGGAAAAAAATCACTTCAAAGTCAAAGCTCTTATTATTCTGCTCTCATCTTGTCACTTCATTGCACACCAGTCAGAAATCGTCCTCTCTCAATCCCAGCCAGCATGACTTTCTCATGCGGGCACCTCAGGCTGCCTGACGCTAGTGCCACTTGATGTCCTTTACGAAAGGGAAGACACTGCTGCCAGGTGGCGTCTGCAAGCACATCCCGCACTTGAACTGGGATCTGGAGCTCTCATGCAGGCTCACGTTCTTCCCAGTGGGGACATTACTTTATAAAAATAAGACCCAGAGATAAGTTGAACACTGATCGTTTTGTTCTTGTTGAAATGGGCCACTAATTTCTCGTGTCTTCCTTGTTAGACCTTGAACATCAACAGTGTTCGGCAAGGGTGTCCAGAGCTAAAAAGCATTTGCCTGCTGTTGCTGAGGATTTTGTTTTGATGCCGAAGCCCAGCCTTACAAATACAAGAGAGTCAGAAAACCACGTTTGGGCAACACTCGCTGTGCTTATTTGAACTGTTGCCCAACATATGGGATTTGTTTAAACACACGATTTGCTAATCCAACCCAAGTACAGTTGTTCTAAGTTACTGTAAATCAGTTTTTAACAATGGCAAATCAACCTCCTTACCCTGTTTTTGTTCAGAATCATCAACACTATTGTGTATGCATTCGTCTGTGTATGTGTGCAGCATGTGGTGAGTTTGCTGGGTCCTCCAGTTATCAAAAGTATGGCATCTGGGCCGACTTGTTCTCTACAGGAAAAGGAAGCTCTTAAAATGAACAGGCACAGTGACACCGGAAGTATCCGCAGCAGCCCTCACCTAACTTGATGGTCCCTGGTCCTGCAAAGGAAATGACCTATTTGTAGTTGGACAGAGGTGTTCAGGGTGGAGGTTCCTTGTAGAACAAGTGCAATTTGATATGTTCCTTACTGCCCTACCAAGATGATAATTAGTCTTTAAAAACACATTCAAGTGGGGGGAAATAAAAGTAAATTAGAATGCAGGAAGATTTCACCATCTCACACACCAATCTTTTGCTTAGATAAGCAGTTCCTTCATCACAAATGCATTTGCTTTGCCATGTGCATTATAAAAATAAAACTATCTATGGCTTGTTTAAAGTGCCATTTTATAAAGCTGTATTTTTTTTTAATTGGCCAGAAAGACTCAATTTTATCCATGGCAAGAAGTGAGCAGAATTGGTGACTGAATATTGACAAATGACCAACAATAAAGACGACAACAACACAAATCCCATAATTTAAAAATTCTTAAATAAATATAAAAGTTATTCCTAAAGAAGCCATCTGCATTTCAACAATATAGGTTGTAACCAGCTAAAGTACCACTGGAAGAAAGAAAAAACTGAAACAAAAAAAGCCATAAACAATTTCTGGCAACTAGCATGATACATTGCAAACAGTTTAAAATTAAATGTACACCGCTAGGAATACAGAGCACAGAGCTACTTCTCAAGTGTTCTGGAGGGAGGGGGGAGGTGAGAGGGGAGTGGGGAAAGAGGAGAAACATGCATAGAGAGTCCTGTCTGTATTTCAGTAAAACAGTTGTATAGAGTGTTGTTAAAGCAGTCGACTCAAGAAAGCAACCAGATTAGAAGATATGACGTAGTGGGACCAACTCCAGGTTCAAGAGCCATGGATGTCACGAGCGCATCCCAGACTGGGCTGAGATGAGCAGAGCTCACTGTGGTGACTGCGAAGATGCCATTTGCAGCACTTAGCAACAGAGGGAAGGAAAGCTCTAGGGAAGCAGAGCTGGAAAAGACAACTGAGCAACATGATGGATGCCTTCTGGGGGAGATTTTCCTCTTTGTAAGCCCAAAGCATTGCATCTACTTTGTTTATAAGAGGTTGGTTGCTTTTCACAAAATTTTGTTCAGATGTAAAATTTCAGGTCATCATAAAAATTATGCCAAAAAGGAATGATCTTGGGTTTCATTTAAAAAGGTAAAAACAATAAAGAGCACAAACTTGGCATAAATACAGTGAGTACTTGGTAGCCATCCTCTCAAGAGAGGGAGCTAAAGAGAACTATCACTTAAACCCCCAAGTTCAATGGCCTCCTACCGCCAACTGCTTAATACGAATTTGATGAGCTCCAGTGGCTCTGGCTTTGGAAGTCAAAGAGCAGGCGGCTGTTCATGCCAGGGGGTAGGGGCATGTGTAATTTGGGTATGATATTGCCTGGCCCTTTCTTAAAGCAGAGAGAGAGAGAGAGAGAGAGAGAGAGAGAGAGAGAGAGAGAGAGAGAGAGAGAGAAGAAAGAGAGAGTGCGTGTTTGGGGAACATCAACTGCGGATTGATTTGATCCAATTTTCTCTTTGCACCAAACACATATAAAACATTACAACTCTATAAAAGTACAAGTGCAACTTGTACATCTGAAGTTTGCAGGAACTATGTGAGCAAATCCTATCAAAATAGCTATCTCATAGGTATAAACAGCATTTGTTTTTAGAAAAACAATATCATAAACTGCAGAATCTGTACAAAAATATAAAATAAATTTGGGCAGCAGTTTCTAAACAGCCATGTAAATGCAACACTTACGAGGAGTAGTTAATGCCTCTAAAAAGGCTGAATTGCCAATCAACCTATACAAGGGCAAAAATGCCAGAAAAGGTACTGAGATTATCTAAATAATATATATATATATTCTTTTTTTTTTTACCTCTTGCAATAAAACTTATAGAAAAAATAGACAAATATGCACATGCAATTTACAGCTTTCCCAACTTATTCCTTGTGCTTTGCTTGAACTGTTTATTTTTTTGTCATTCAACTTAGCAACATTGTCTTCAAATGTCTTCTTTCCTATTGCAGGGTAGTAGGTTTCAGGAGCCGCCCCGAAGAGCCTAGGAAAAGTGGTCGTACTTGGATGAAGGCACTCCAACTCTGCTCAAAGCAAAAACTAGTGTGATCCTTGTGTAAAACGTTCTTTTACTCTGGGAAAAAAAAAAGGCAAGCAAGGGTGCATGCACAGTGCGGAGAAGTGTCAGGGCTGCGGGAAGGCTCTGCAGGGTCTGGGTGGGCACCAGCAGGGCGCGGGAGGCTTAGGACCCGACAAGCACCTCCATGATATGGTCCAGCTCTGTGAGGTCCATTTTGAAAGGCTGACTCGGGGCGACGGGCTGGCTGCTGTAGGGGGCGAGAGTCTTGAGGAGGTCGTCGGCGGAGACGGGGGACATTTTGGAGGCGGTCCCCGACGCCGAGGTGCAGGGGTCGAAATCATACATGGAGGTGTCGATGTCGGCGAACAGGATGTCGTCCAGCGTCAAGTCCGTCAGGAAGCCCGTGGACGTCGTGATCTCGAAATTCCCGGGCAGCGAGTCCATCAGTTTCGAGTCGTCGGCGCGGCCCTCGGGGAGCCCCTCGAGTTTCTGCAGGCTGGGGTCCCCTTTGGAGCCGTCGGGCGCCGAGGCGGCGGCCTCGGGGGAGGTAGATGTGGGGCAGAGCTCCTCGATCTCGTCCAGGGCCGAGGAGAAGCTGTCCTTTTCCGGCGGTGGCGGTGGCGGCGGCGGCAGGGCTGGAGGTGACAGTTTGGGGGGCGCCGCAGGCGGCACGGCAGCGGCGGTGGGGGAAGTGCAAAACGTGTCATCGTCCGCCTCGAGCAGCGAGGCCGGGGTGAGGCAAGCCTCCAGGGGTGTAGTGCTTCCGAGGTCGCAGGGGTGAGTGGGCGGGGCCGGCGGGTGGCTGAAGGTGGGCGGGGCCTCGCGGAAGCTGTCACTCAGCGAGTCCGCCGGCTGGGAAGCCGGGGTGAACACGGGCCGCAGGCTGCCTTCCTGTTTGAGCTCCTCCTGGATCCGCCTCAACATGTTGTTGATCAGAACGGTCTTTTGCAAGCTGGGCTCTGTGAGGGGCCTGTGGTTATAGAGTTTCATAAGGGAAATGTTGAAGATAGTCTGGCGCTGTAAGGTGTAAGACACCTTGGATGGCCCGTCAGAGGGAGACACAATTTTGCCTTCCAGCCCATCTTCATACTCATCAAACTTCCGTTTTTCTCCTTTACCCAACATATATCTGCAGGGGAGAAAGGAAGGAAATGGAAAGGATCACATGAAAACTCCTTTTTTTGTTTTTTTTTTTTTTAACCATAAAAAAGTTGCTGATTCAGAGATCAGGCCTAGGACTTCAGCTCTTGCCCAGGCTGAGGCCTGGAATTAAGGGGGCGGGTCGGGGTGGAGGAGACATTTCGGCATACGAGAGCTGGGAAATCTACCTTTGTATGCCCGGGGAGCAATTTTTGCCACCAGATAGTCTGGTAAATGTATTTCTTGAGAAATGTGTACGACACAGACAAGTTAAGCGTTACCATGGAAACCGTGATTTTGACTTTCTCAGCTGGTGTGCTTGCGATCACTTGCCTAACATCACGCAGGCTCTGTTTCCCTCCCCCAAGCAGATTTATTTTTAAAGCCCAAGAAAACACTTCCAGTGCTATGACCTAAACAGACAAAGGTGTCACATCCATGACAGCCTGATTCCCTCTTGAAGAAATGAACCAAGTTAGAGAAGGAGGAACACTGACAATTTTGGTGGAGCTGTGTGAGCTTTCAAAACGCCTTTTCCTTCCTCATTATGCATAGTCCCTCTGCTTGCTTGGTGACATGTGGTACTGTAGTACTTGGCCTGCTTTAAATGACCACAATGATTGAGCTGCTGCCTCTTGTTCAATGGAGACTCAGGTGGAGGAATGTGAATTTCCCAGGCCAAATTTTTTCCATAGCTTGATTTCACTGCAGTTAATCTGGATTCAACTGGACTAATTTAAGTATAATCCACTCTGATTATAAGCATGGCTGTTTGGAGACATGCGCCATCTCCCAACGAAACACCTACTGTGATTCCAGAGATACATGTGCCTTTCAAACCTGATCTCAGACCCTGATCATTAGGTCAAGGGCTGAATTTCTACTTCTGCCCCATCTTGCTCACTGCTAGAGCTAAGTAGTCAGTTGGTTGTGCCTTTTGAAAAGTATCTTTCTGCTCACAACTTCTACCAGGAGAACAGAACCATCACAAGCCCATGTACCTTTGTCTCACAGACCTCCCTTGCTAATCACTTAATCAAAAAAGTTGTTGTGGGCCATCCGGACCAGGAAACACGGCTCCTATTTAGCCAGGCCTGAGCTCACCCCTTCACCTCCACTCCAACATTTACTCGTGGATGCATGCTAATCCTCCCCTCAGTGCTGCTCGCTGGTCCTGAGATCTTCATATATAAGTGAATACTTTGCCATGACCCAATTTTTCTTCTAAAACTGACTTGCCTTTCACTAAATTACTTGTGTCGATTCTGATGGTGTCTCATTCAATTCTTTATTAACTCATTCCATAGCTCTGCTGGATTGGCACCCTGCCAGGCAATGGGGAGTCCTTTAGATAAATAAAGCCTGGTCCTCAAGAGGCTCAATATCTTCTCCTACACCTCATTATCATTTTGAATTATTAGTCTCACCCTAAAGGAAGAAGGCCTACCACAATAAAACTTCACAGAACTTCTTTCCAACACTATTAAAGAAAGTCAAGCCAGGCAGACTTGCACAGAATCCCTGAGCCTAGCACACACATTTCACTTGGGGTGACTGCATTCAGGGATGTTGGTCTCCAGTTGAGAGGGATAAAGACCACTACATTTGATGGGCAGTCATCCTGGAGATTTGTTAGTGCTTATAAAGAATGTGCAGTGTGCAGTTGCTGCTACTAAACACCCTTCCTTAATGCATTTTGTAAATATTAAGAAAACTTGCCATGACAATGGAATACTACCCAACCATAAGAGAAGAGGAAATTGTGCAATTTGCTGCTACATGGATGCATCTGGAGAGAATCATGGTGGGCGAAGTTAGGAGAGGGACAGACACATAATGAATGTGAGCTATAAAGAAACATCGGAGGTGAATAACTAATGTCCAAAGGTAATAAAAACTATGAGCATGAGAAATGGTCTGTAGGAAGCTTGCCACTGGCATGGGAGTTGGGGAGGTAGATCAGAGAAGGGAACACTAAGACAGTGGTGAAAGGGAAAAACACCCACCACAGAAGCAGGTTGGAGGGTGGGAGAGAAAACAGGGGACATTGGTGGAGAGAAGTGGTCTTGGTGTTGGTGAAAGGATTGGTGTTGCAACACTGCATGCCTAAAACTCAAATCATGAATAATTTTGTAATGTTATAATTCATAGTGATTCAATAAAAGATAAAACAAAACTGACAGAAAGCATATGACATTGATGGGACAGCTTTAAAAAAAAAATGAGCCCAAATTGCTGTCAATCACCAGCACCAAAGTTGTGTTCTGTAATTAACTATTTTCTGAGACAAAGAAGGTATGATAGTAAGAGCTTATCTAAAACTTCACAGGAGAGAACCACTTCCTGCTCTTTAGTGCTAGAATTCTCCTCTGTATTTACTTTGCAGAGAACATTTTCTCTCTGAAGCATCTGTGTCCATTTCAACTGGAAGGTGAATCAGAGAGGAGAGGATTTCACTTCACTTTCACAAAACACTTCTACCTTAAGCATTAGTTGTATTACCAGACAAGGGTTTTGAAATAGACAGCTACACTCACAATTATATTGTTTGTACTTACACTTCCAGAATATTCCACTTTTGTCAAAGAACTTACTAAGTGCATTTAATGCTCATATGAAAATCTCTTTGATTGGGGCCATGCTTTGCAAGTATGAGAACCCAGGTTTGATCCTAGGAATTGAAAAAACACAAAATTCATTTTATGCTAGAAGGTATCGTGTCTAATACATTTTAAAAAAAGGTGTGTGTGTGTGTGTGTGTGTGTGTGTGTGTGTGTATAAATGTGAACTGTTTTCAAATGTGGTCAGTAGATGGTCCATAATTGGATATTACTTAGAATTTTGTGTTTTTGTGATGCCAGAGATGAGGCTGAGGGTATCACACATGAGACAAGCACTTTCTACTGAGCTCTCTCCTGGCCCATAGAACTTTGGTTTTTGTTTTTGGAGCCCAGGACCTTGTATACATACAACACACACTCCCCCTGAGCTACATCCTTAGCTCCTATTGTGAAACCTGTACAGCAAATGGATTAAGTAGCTGTATGTCTGAAAACCTCAAAAGTGAGGTTTATATTTTCTACTTCTTTGTACTTTCATTTCATTTCCCCCCAGTAATTCCTTTTTATCATGTTTTACTAAAGTATTAGTTCATGAAGGGTGGCAGGAAGGAACAAATGATTCCTCATCACTGAAAAGTTTGAGAAACACAGCTTTGTTCCCAAATGTACGCTAAACATACCACTAAAAACAAATTAGCACACACAACCGCTTTGGAGTTTTATTGGTATACTGAAAGGGGAGGCAACACTTAGGTGACAGAGTACACTTTCCCTCTTCATTCAATCACTGATGTAGGCTATCTCTTCCCAGAAAAAACAAGAGGACTTTCTCAATAGTTCCCATTTTTCTAGAAATAATCACTGAATCTACAGAACACGAGTATTTAAAAAGAAGACTAGGTCTTAAGTACAGTAAGTATTTGCCACCGTTTCTCCCATTAGCTGAAGGAGTTTGAAGATACTTTGAGAGATTTAAAGGGAGAAGCATCGAATTTTCAATTAGAATGATCCAATTGGTCAAAGCTGTGTGATAATCCCAAAGATTTAGGAAAAGTTCGATAAATCGCTGGTAATGCTGTCTGAAAGGGGAGTGGGCAGGGCCCTGGAAGCCAAATCTGTGAGCAGGACCAGATAGACAAATCGATTCTTGGACGCTCTTCAAATGGCTAAGCAAGGGCCCAGGACAGAATCTGTCTCAAAGCAGCTTGTCTTTCAATTCTCTTTCACTTTATGAGGCAAAACAGGCTCCAGGCACTCAGGAAGGTTGCAACACACCACACACACACACACACACACACACACACACACACACACACACACACATTCTGCTGATTTGTAACCCTAATTCTAGCTACATCGTTGTGGAAAGGAAATGAAAAATGCAAAGAGTTAGATTTACTCCATTTGATTATTTAGCCATTTAAAAATCTTAGAAATAATTCAAGTTTAAAAACAGTTTATGTGTGCTTCCACCCCTACCCCAAGTTTGTTTAACACAGTGTAGTAGAGTCAAATCTTCCGCAGAGGCCTCCCAATGAGGAGAGAAAACCCTCCTCACTCTCACAGCAGCAGGAAGGATGTGCAGAAGCTTCAGTCCAGGGAGAGATGCATCCAGGCCTGGAGCTCAGGCTGGCCCCAACCCGGGACTTGCCAGGAGGCAGCTCAGAAGCTCAGGGCCAGGCACTCCACAAAAATAACAACAGCTCTTTAAGCACACTACTGGAGAGGCACGCGACCTCTTAAGAGGCCTCACTAGGACTCCCTCAAAGGCCAGCGGTAGCAGGCCCTCATTAAGCACTTCCAGGGGAGGAAGGAGGGAAGAGGGTGCCTGCTGGTCCTGCCGCGCCCCCGCTCAAGGCCACGGGCAGCTGTGGAACCCTAACACAGGGACTGAGGGCCTCGGGTCCGGGTTTGTCTCACCCGGGTTCCTAGGCCACCCACAGGCTTATCTCCTCTCTCAGTGTGTCAAGACCTAAGCCCAGGCTTCAACAAAGGTCCAACATGAGCCCTGCGGGGATGTGATAGGCGACCCCCTCCTACCACCCCGGCCTACAATAGCCATTTTCCTACAGAGCGTTCACTGGCTCTGTCATAAGATGAAAGTCACTTTTCCCGTGGATTTTTCAGAAACAAACTCTTACTTAGCACTCTAATTTTCTTAATACAGGTTTCAGCATCTACTGACTTCTTTACAGGTTAAGTTCTCAAAGTGATGGACCAAACTCATGGCTAGCAAAATATATAGAAACTCCCCCTTTCCCCCCTACCTGGGAGTTTTTCCAGGAAGCTGAATGAATCCTAAGGAGAACACTATGTATCAAACTGGAAGTCAATCATACAGTTTTCATTAGAAAGGACTGGGCCCCAAAAGCTAGCTACAATTTCCCTGCGAACACAGCTTAAAAGTGGCAAATATCACCAGGAGATC